CCAACCAATTGTTGCCTACAAAAATTTATCTCAGTGACAAAGACAAGCATTTGCTTAAAGTGAAAGGATAGAAAAAGATTTTCTAAGCAACTGGACCCTGAAAGCAGGCAGGAATAGCTATAGTCATATCTGATAAAACAGACTTCAAATCAAAATTAGTCATAAGAGACAAAGGTCACTTCATATTAATAAATAGAAAAATTCATCAAGAGGACACAGCATTTATTAAATATATATACCAAACATTAGCATATTTGATCTCATTTAACAAATACTACTGGAGTTATAAGAACAGATAGTCATAAAACAAAATAGTGAGAAACTTTAACACTCCAGTTTCACTAATAGGCTATCCAGAACCCCCCACAAAAAAATCAACAAAGAAACTTCAGAATGAACCTACACTATGGACCAAATGGATTTAAGTGACATTTACAAAATATTTCATCCAATGGCTGCCCAATATACATTCTCAGCAGCCCGTGGAATTTTCTCCAAAATAGATCATATTTAAGGATATGAAGAAAGTCTTAATAAATATAAGAAAACTGAAATAATCCCTCTATCCTATCAGACCACAACAGAATAAAACAAGAAATCAACAAAAAAAGAAACTACAGAAAAATTTCAGACACATGGAGTCTGAACAATACATTGTTAAACAATTAGTAGGTCATCAAAGAAATAAGATGGGAAATAAAAAATTCCTAAAGTCCAATGAAAATGAAAACACAACATATCAGAACCTCCAAGATACATCAAAGGCAGTTCTAAGGGGAAAGTTTAAGCTATGTCTGTCTACACCAACAAAACAGAAAGATCTCAAAAAAATAGCCTGGAAAGGGACCTCAAACTCCTAGAAAAATAAGAATAAGGCAAACCCAAAATTAGAAGGTAGAAAGTAATAATAAAAGTTAGGCCAGAAATTAATGGAGACTAAAAGAAAAACACAAAGAATCAAACAAGATTGATAAGCCCTTAGCCAACCTGACCAAAAGCAGGAGGGAAAAGACCTGAATTAATAAAATTAGAGATGAAAAAGGAGTATCACGACAAACATCAATGAAATCCAGAGGATCATTAGGGAAAATCTAGAAGAAATGGATAAATTTCTAGATGTGTTTGACCTACCAAAATTGAACCAAGAAGATATAAACCACTTAAACAGATCTATAATAAGCAATGAGGTTGAAGTAGTAATAAAAAGTTTCTTAACAAAGAAGAGGTCAGGACTGGATAGATTCCCTGCCAAATTCTACCAGTCCTTCACAGAGGAACTAACACTAATACGCTCAAACTATTTAATGAAATAGAAAAGGAAGAAACATTGCAAAACTGGACAAAACCACAACAACAACAAAAAGAAAATTATAGAACAATATTTGCAAACTGAATTTATTAACACATTGAAAAATCATGTACCATGATCAAATTGGTTTCATTCCAAGGATGCAAGGATGGGTCAATGTATGCAAATCAATAAACAGAGCACATAAGCAAACTCAAATAAGAATCTCAATAAATGCAGAGAAAGCCTTTGACAAAATTCAATGCTCTTTCATGATAAAAGTTCTGATGAGCCAGGTACCAGTGGCTCATGCCTAAAATCCTAGCTACTTGGGAGGCTTAGATCAGGAGGATTGTGGTTTGAGGCCAGCCTGAGCAAATAGTTTGTGAGACCCCAATCTCCAAAATAACCAGAACAGAATGGACTGCAGGTCAAAACTCCTGTACTACTACCCCTCCCCCACAAAAGAAAGAAAGAAAGAAAGAAAGAAAGAAAGAAAGAACAAACTGAGAACAGGAGGAACAGAATGTACCTTAGCTTAATAAAGGCTATACTTCATATGACAAACCTATACCCACCATTATGCTAATCAAGAAAAACTCAAGTCATTTCCTCTGAAGTCAGGAATGAGACAAGGATGTTCACTCTTTTCATTCTTATTCAATATAGTACTGGAATTTGTAGCCAGAACAATAAGACAAGAGAAGGAAATAAAAGGGATTCAAATAGGGAAGAGGGAAGTCAAATCATCCTTATTTGTACATGATATGATCCTACACTTAAAACACCCTAAAGATCCCACCAAAAACTTCTAGATCTGATAAACACTTTTGGTAGTGTAGCAGGATATATATTTAACATATAAAAAATGAATAGCTCTTCTATATACTAACCATGCATAGGCTGAGAAAGAAATCAGGAAACTAATTCCATCCACAATAGTGTCAAAAACAAAACAAAGCAACAACAACAAAACCCTGGGAATAAATTTAGATAAGGAGGTGAAAGACCTCTACAATGAAAATTATAAAACCTTGAAGAAAGAAACTGAAGAAGACACATGAAGATGGACATGGATCCATGTTCACGGCTTGGCAGAATTAATATTGAGAAAATAGCAATCTACAGCTTCAATGAAGTTCCAATGTCATTCTTCACAGAAATGGTGAAATCAGTTTTAAAATTTACATGGAAACATAAAAGACCCCTAATAAAAAGGAATTGTGAGTAAAAAGAACAATGCTAGAGGTATCACAATATTGAACTTCAAATTATACTACAAAGCCAAAGTAACAAAACCAGCATGGTACTGGCACAAAAACATACATGTAGACCAATAGGCCAATAGAATAGAACAGAACAGAAGATTCAGAAATAAACCCACACAACCTACAGCTCTCGGATTTTTGATAAAGGAGCCAAAAACATACATTGGAGAAATACAGCCTCATCAGCAAATGGCGTTGGAAAACTGGTTATCTACATGCAAAAGACTGAAACTAGACCCCCCTCTCTCACTCTGCATAAAAATTAATTCAAAATGGATCAAAGATCTTTTTTTTTTTTTTGGGGGAGTATTGAAATTTGAACTCAGGGTCTACACCTTCAGCCACTCCCCCAGCCCCTTTTTTGTGAAGCATTTTTTTTGAGATAGAGTCTCATGAACTAGTTGCCCAGGCTGGCTTCAAACCACTATCTTCCTGATCACTGCCTCTTGAGTAGCTAGGAATATAGGCGTGAGCCACTGATGCCTGGCTGGATCAAAGATTGTAATGTAAGGTCTGAAACTTTGAAATTACTACAAGAAAATACTGGAAGACACAAGGCATAGGCAATTATTTTCTGACTAGGACTTCAGTTGCCCAAATGGGCTTGCATCAAATTAAAAAGCTTCTTTATGGGAACCTAAAACTTGAATGTTGTTGATGTGCTCACTGTAGAGGAATGAATATAGTAATCTTCAACTGGCAGAGGCCGCTATGGGAAAGGGACTATGAAGTAGTAAAGCAGTCTGCTAGACATGGAATACACATGTGCATGGAAGCAACACCAAGACTCTCTCCATATAGCTATTTTTATCTCAAACTAGCAAAACCGCTATTATCGCTCACATTTTTTCTTCAACAAAATCTGAGAACAGGTTCTGCCTGGAAATGGGGGTGGGGGAGGTGGCCCAAACAATGTATACACAAGTGAGTAAATGTAAAAATGATTAAAAAAAACCCCAAAACTTCTTTACATCAAGGGAGCAATTACTAGAATCAATAGACAATTCACAGAATGGAAAATCTTCATCAGTTATTTAACAGATAAAGGATAATATTGAGAACATACAAAGAATTCAAAAATTAAAACAGTAAAAGACAAATAATAAAATTAATAAATGGGAAAATGAATTAAACAGTTTAATTCAGAAGTACAAATGGCTAATAAATATCTGCAGAAATGTTTAACAATCTTCGCCATAAAGGAAATGACAATCAAAACCACACTGAGATTCCATCTCACCCCAATCAGAATGGCAATTATCAAGAAAACAAACAGTTAACAAGTGCTGGTGAGGATGCAAAGAAAAAGGAGCAACATAAACTGGGGGTAGGAATATAAACTGGTGCAACCACTATGGAAATTAGTATGGAACTTCATCAAAAAAGTGAAAACAGATCTACCTTATGACCCTGTTACACCACTGGGCATATTTCTGAAGGAGTATAAATGAACATGGATATCTATCCACACACCCATGTTTACTGCAGCACTGTTCATAGTAGCCAAGCTGTGGAATCAGCCTAGCCTAGGTACCCAACAGTCTTTGAATGGATAAAGAAAATGTGGCACATATGTATCAGGGAGTATTATTCAGCTGTAAAGAATGAAATTACATAATTTTCAGGAAAACAGATGGAACTGGAGATCATCATGTTGAATGAGATAAAGCCCAAGCTCAATATTGCATGTTTTCGCTTATATGTGGACTCTAGACCTGAAATGATGATGATAATGGAACTTGAGTATAAAATGGGGATGTCTGGGGGGATTAGTGGGAGGTGGAGGGGGAAAGAAGGGAATAGTAGTGGGTAGAAGAGAACTGAAGTATATCTGTACACACACACACACACACACACACACACACACACACAAAGATAGTATAATCAAAACCTCCCCTCCCCAAACACTGTTTGAAAGTGGGGTAGGGAGGAAGGAAGGAGGCTAACGAATTTAATAGAGGGGTGAACTTGATCCAAGTACACTGTATGCAACTATGGAATTATTCCAATGAAACTCCTTTGTACTATTAATGTATGCTAAATAAAAATAGTGTAAAAAAGAAAAAAATTAAAAAAAGAAAGCCTCATCAGAGTATCTAAATATTTGGTGACCATGGTTTGGTGGATTCTTATTTACTCATCAAACTGGATTACTACTACTAATAATTATTTTAAAGTTAGAAAATCTTAAGAGAAAGTTTAACCCTTTGCTTTTTGCAATCCCTGTCACTTATTTATACCTTCATAGGGAGGGAGAACTGCAAATTATAAGTTAACATGTTTTTTTTTTTCACCCACCACAGTTAAGAACAGGAACGAACACTTAGTCATTTCTACATGCTCTTTGACTTATAGTTTTTGCCAAAAGTAAATGCTCATAAGTGTATTGTGAATTAATGAAAATTCTGTAAAATTTCTCAATGGCACAGGAATTATTCACTTACGTTCCACAAAGGAAGTGAAGAGCATTCTGAACCTGCTGAGACGGCTTCCTTCATCTGCCCACATGCGTATCACTCCAACTCCTGTCTTAAGCATTACATCATTGGCCACAGTGCTGCAGAACTTGGCTTTTAGATTTTCAATGGCACTGCTTCCATCATAGACTGCAACAAAGTTTCTCTTGCATTCATTTGAGTGCTCCATTTGATAGTCTAAGAACCTCAAATAAATCTGTAACATTGAAACAAGGAAAAGGACTGCTTAAAAAAGACACATTAATTTTAATTTCTCTATTTCTATTATTCACAGTCAACATGGTAAGACTAAATCATGATAGCTGACAGAAAAACAGAACAGATAATAGGCTGATGCCTAAATAATTAAGAGACCTAAGCCTAATGGTTTGTTTCTTTGGTTGTCTTAAAAATGGAAGCAAAGTATTAAGGAATCTACAAAGAGAAGTTTTGTGCAACATGAGGTATTGACTGTATTACATCATTTCCTCACTATAAAGGCAGTATCATAGTCCTAATGGACAGAGGAAATAAATGAATCATTCATAATTTTATCATTATAACAATCAGCATGATTATTGGTGAATTTTTCAGTTTGTACATTTTATTTTATTATTTTTCTTGGTATTACTAGGGTTTGAACTTAGGGCTTAATGCTGGCTAGGCAGGCACTCTACTACCTGAGCCACTCCACCAGCTCTTGTGTGTACATTTTAAAACAACTTTTTTATTTTTGACAATTAAGACCTTTATTAACATCTGCTTGCAGTTTGTTGACTTTTTTGAAAAAAATCAAGTTGTAAACTTTTATTATAAATTAGAAATGAAGTTCTTAACAATTTTAACTTGACCAGATAAGAAACAATTAAAAAAAACTTTAAAAATGTATTGAGAAAAAACAGGCTTCATAAAAAAACATGCAAAACCTAAATTTTATCCTTAGGTACATAATATACCCATATCCTACTTTTGTAGGAACACATCTAAAAATTTTATCTTATGTACACTCTTTGTAACCATGATTCTTATAATTCCTACAGAGCCATTCATTCCGACAATGCCCTGTAAGTGGTTCTATACTTGCACAGTAAATAGTTTTAAGATCCCACTCCTTAAACAATATTGTCTGCATTTTCAGATGGGATGACAGGAACTTATTATCAAAGTCAGCACTGTCATCAGCATTTGCTTCATTCAAGTTTTATTGGCAGTTTACTACCTGGCACTAAGTTATTTCTTAAAATATAGTTGGCTCATTCTTGTGAAGATTTCCTTTATGGAAGGCATAGAAAGAACTTATGAATTAATCTCAAAAAAGAATCTGATGAAGTGGGAACCATTGTTTATAAACGGTAGAGATTCTGGAACTTGCCCAGGGTTATTCAGGGCAAGGATGTGAACCCAGGTTGATCTAGTATGTGTGTGTCCTTGTCAGTCCACGGATGCCCTGCATGCATGCACATACACACACTCTCTCCCTCTCTCTCTCACTTTTTTGGCTTTACTCCACATGTGACTGCAATTAAAATACAATTTTAGTATGTGAATAAAGATTCTTTGAATTGTTGCTGAAGACATATCATGAGTACTCATGTTCTAGCCACTACTCTTGAGATAGTGGTGTATCACTCAAACCCTTTAATTTAAAGAGCTTAATAAAACAAAAAAGTCATGTCACATATTTTTCCTCTGTTGAATACCTTGATGGCATGAAGTTGAGAGCAAACATGTTAAAATATAGTTCAAAATTTGACAAAAAAGTTTTGGTTTATTTGAAATCATTAGTTTGCCATTTCCATGAGGATGGTAGGCAGTCATGAGCTCAGTCTTCCATTCCAAAGTTTTACAAATTTCATCATGCATGTATTTTAACATAAACTAATGTTTCAGTCAGGTATAAGTAGTTCATGCCTGTAAACCCAGCTACTTTGGAGGCTGAGGCAGGAGGTTGACAAGATCAAGACCAGCCCAGGCAACTTAGTGAGACCCCAGGTTCAACCACCAGTACAGGAAACAACAACAAAAAGCATGTTTTCTAAAATACATCATTAGTTCTCATTACTTTCTCCATTAGTTATGTAACCAAAACACACTGCTCATGGTTCTATGGTAGGAAGTACCACTAATACTATAATTATTTATCCCTTCCATTAAATTCTAAGTCTTCCAATAAGAGAGTCACATCCACCTCTTTCACTTCTTAGAAGAGATTGGGAACGGGCATTATATCTTTCTTAAATGTTTGGTACAATTTGCCAGTGAATCCATGTAGGACTTCAACTTTTTGGTTAGGAGGTTTTTAACTACGAATTCAATTTAGAAACAAGTGTAGGATTCTTCAGGTTACTCAGTTCTTCTTGGATGTGTCTGGGCAGTGTGCAGCTTTTAAGGAGCTTGTCCACTTCATCTAAGCCATCTAATTTTGGGGTTCAAAGCTGTTTACTGGCAGAGTGATATCTTCTCTTTTTTTTTTTTGAGTTTATGCCTTTGTTATGTAACTTACAAACAACATTTTAAAAGTTAAATTGCAATTGTTGACTGCTTTCCTTAGTACTTTGCTCATGTCCAAGAAAGGGAAAGAATTTAGCAGTTGATTAAAACAGTAACAAAGCCACACACACATATACATAAGCTGGAAGAGGATGACCTTAACTGCAAGTATCTGGTACTGTTACATTATTGCTATAAAACGTCCACACTATTGTTCTTCCAGATGCTTTCTTGTGATGGCTGTAGTAGTTAAGAAGTTTTAATACTTCCATCTCATTCATAGATCCTCCGAGGCTCCTGCAGCAAGCACCACGTCACCTTCTGTCATGGCACTTTGTATGTGTCTCATTGAATCTGAGGCTGCCTCCCAAGGGGTGGGTTGGTAGACCATGAAGTTGATTCCTGCCTCTAAGCAGCGATGTGCAACACTCTCCCTGTACTCTTCCAAGCCACCACGTTTTTTGGTACTGTACAGGTGCTTTTTAGTAGCCCATTCACAAGTGCATGCTGGAACCACAACCTGATCGTTTCGCTGCTGCACAAGCGCTTCTAACGTGAAGATGAGTCCTTGTAACTCGCAGCCTGTGCCAGAAGGTCCGCGAGGGCCCCTCAGTCCCCAGACCAATTGTTTCCTGGCTAAGCTACGAGCTCCAGATTTCGAGGGTTCGACTTGGGTGAACTCGCAGGCAACAGCTTCATTTTCCTAAGGTTTCACTTCGGGCTTTGCCACCGGAGTGAAACTGGTAGACAGGCCCGCAAACCCACACTCCACGTTCCTGCAAATCCACCACGATTTCCAGAACCGCGTCTGAAGGGCCATCACCAAGATCTCGGGCAGGGTCTCGGACAGCATTGCCTGATTTCCTCCCGGTCCTCTCCACGGATAGCTGTCCCTTCTCTCATTCTTGATGTGGATCACCCAGATATTTAGTTTCATTCATCAGGTTCTATGATTCACTTCTCTCTTTTGGGTGGTACTGAGGTCTGAACTCAGGATCTTGTGCTCACGAGGCAGGCACTTATTTCTCTTAGGTAAAAAACTTCCTTCATAATTTTTCTTACAGCAGGCTGCAGGCAATAAATTCTTATTCCATCTTCACCAGATGTCTTCAGTTTGCTCTCATTCCTGAGTCTCGTGGACAGATGAAACAATCTAAGTTCAAAGATTTTTTTCTCTCCAGTATTTAAAGGATTTTGATCTTTGGTTTCCATAATTTCTGAGGAGAAACCCTCAGCTAAAATTATTGCTCCCTTATACAAAAAGCACCCATTTTTCTCTGGCACATCTTAAGATCTCAATCTTTGCTGTCGAGCAATCTGATTTTGATGTGTGCAGGCCTTTTTGCCTTTTTTGTTGTTTATCCTGGTTGGTGTTTGCTGGGCTCCTTAAATCTGAACATTTACGTCTTTTACTAAATCTGGGATTTTTTTTTGCAATTATTTCTTCAGGTATTGTACCAAGCTCTTCTTTTCCCTCTTTGGCTTCAATGGTACAAATGCTGGTCCATCTGCGATTGTCCTTCAGGCTCCAAGGCTCTGTTTTCAATCTTGTTTTGTACTTCAGGTTGAATTTCTATTGATTCATCTCTAAGTTACTATCTCTCCATTCTTACAGAAATGATATGCAGTGACTACCTCTACAAACTTCAGTGGAGGTATTTTTCATTTTCAGTCCTAAAATTTCCACCTTTTAAAATATACTTTCATTTTTCTGCTGAGTTCAGAACTATTTTTCCACTTTTTTTCAGACTTACCTTGCCTTGTGGAGTATGGTTGTATGTTGTTTTGAAGTTTTTGGTAATTTGATATCTGGATCCTGTTAGGGTTGGGATTTGTTGGAATGTCTTTTGCTTCAGAATTGATCAGATTTTCCTGGTTCTTTGTGTGTAATTTAAAAATCTTGTCACACACCTTTTGAAAATCATGTTGAGGTTGAATTATGTTTAAAAAAATCCCTGAAACACACGTATTTAAATGGATGAATGAGACCTGTTGAAACTGTTCCAGGAATGGGGGAAGGGAATATAAAGGAGAATGATGGAGGGGGTAAATTCAACTATGATACATTCATTTGTAAATGTCATAATGAACCCCCAGTACAACAATAATAAAGAAAAAAAATCCCTGGAGGTCAATGATTTTCGTTGTTTTTTATTGTGTGAACAGGCAGTCAACCCAGTTAGTTTCAGACTGCAAGTCCTGCCTCTCTCTGCAGGTCCAGCTTCAAAGGCTTTGCTGGGCAGTGTAGACTTGCTTAGGCACCCCATTCAGAGATGGTAGCTTACACTGTGAACTGGTTCTCCATCCTCTGCCATGTTTCTTTGGATCTACTGTATGCATAGGCAGCTTGGGAGTGAGCAGACTAGTATTTCTTCTCCTCTACCTCTGTGTGGAGTGTCCTGTAGGTGGCAATACCCCAGCATCTTTGGCCAGAAATACAAGTTTTCCCCAGAGTTTTAGTCTCCTAGCCTGTTCGTGTTGAGAGAAAGAGAGACACAGAGAGAGAGAGAGAGAGAGAGAGAGAGAGAGAGAGAGAGAGAGAGAGAGAGAGATTTCCTACCAATTTATTAACAAAGAATTGCTCATATTCTTATGATAATCTAAAACTTTATTATGCAAAACTTCAAATATGTAAAAGAAGACAAAGTATATCTATATACCCATCCCCAAGTTCAATGATCAATTTAGCCAATCCTGTTTTATCTATGTCTTTCCTTACTTCCTCCTCACATACAAGACATGAAGTAACTTCAGCTGTCAGTCACACACCTCCCACTAAAGGCAGATGAGTGATGGCTGGCTCACGTCAGGTACCAGCATTAGACTCTCATAAGCTCTTGAATCATTGGTCCTTTCCTTTCACAAACTGTGTCAATCAGTAACTTCATTTGACTTTTACATTCATTTTCATCTTTGATTCCCATTAGTCCTTTTCCCTTTGTTCATCAGGTCTACTTCACAGTTTTATAATAGTTTTAAAAGAGATCTTTATTTCTACTATTTAACTTTTTCATGAATTCTTTTGGTGGCACTATCACTTAAGTCATGCCCAGGTCCTTTTGCTTTTAGCTTGTTATTAACATGGATTCCAATTCTGATCCTCCTATCTCCATCTCCCAAGTAGCTGGGGTTTCAGCAGGAACCACTATGCCTGGCTACTTTTTAAATTTTAATTGACACATAGTAATAGTACATATTTACTGGGTACAGTGTGATAGTTCAATATATGTATACAATGTGTAATGATCAGATCATGATGATTAGCCTATCGGTCACTTCAAACATGTATCATTGTGTTGGGAATATTAAAAAAAAACCCTCTCTATCACCTAAGCTGAAATATAGTTAATTACTGTCAGTCATAGTAATTTTACTGTACTATAGAATATTAGTATGTTATATAAGTTATTCTTCTTCTGCAACTCTACCCTTGTACCTGTTTACCATTCTCTTCCCTGTTTCCCAAACTCCTGTAGTCACTAGACTACTCTCAACTGTGAGATCAGATTTTTAAATTTAAGCTTCCACATCTAAGTGAGAGAACTGTCTTTCATGTCTGA